GTTATTATTATTATTATTATTATTATTATTATTATTATTAAGGAGGCAGCCATGCTTTGTAAGGAAAACATAATGTTCTCCACTCAATGGCTGAGGAGCTCTTTTTCTGCTACAATTCAAATCAATACAAAGTCACTTCCCCTTCCACCCAATGGGAAATTGCATGGGACTTGAGCAATAGGTGTGGATAAATAAGTTCATTGTGACCTGCCTGACTGTGGGAAGGGAAAATGCCATTTCTTTTGCCCATGACAAGGGAATCAGTGATGCATTTGACCTGCAATTGCACCCCCATTTCCTGTGGAAACTTGACTAAAACTTGCACAATAGACCACTGAATAATAATAATAATAATAATAATAATAATAATAATAATAATAAGATTAGTACACAGCAAACAAGGTCACTCTGCTGGCTGTTGTAATGGATCGCACGTTGGACACTTCCGAAGTGTCTAGGACTGTGTGATGTATAGGTGAATAATGCATGCAGATCCCAGTAAATTGGCTTTCTGCAYCTGGCAGATGGTAATTTTGTCAGTGCCGATTGTGTTTAAGTGCAGGCCAAGGTCTTTAGGTACTGCACCCAGTGTGCCGATCAGCATTGGGACCACCTTTACTGGTTTGTGCCAGAGTCTTTGCAGTTCGATCTTTAAATCCTCATTTTGTGTCAGCTTTTTCAGTTGTTATTATTCCGATTATTATTATTATTATTATTATTATTATTATTATTATTATTATTATTATTATTTCAGTGGTCTATAGTGCAAGTTTTAAATAATAAATGGATCTAGGCACTATACTCCTGATTATGGAGGCTAAAGGTGAACTAAATTAGCAGATTAGTTCACCTTAACCCACCCAAAGCAACGCAGGGAAAGAAAAACACAGTGGGAAGTTGGTATTTGCTGGGTGGGGATTGGTTCCAGGACCAAGGTGGATAAATACCCAAATATGTGGCTGCTCAAGTCCTATTATATAGAGCAGRGGTTCGCAACCTTCCTAATGCAGCAATCCCTTAATACAGTTCCTCAYATTGTGGCAACCCCCAACCATATATTTCTTTTCATTGCTACTTCATAACTGTAATTCTGCTACTGTTATTAATCATAATGTAAATATCTGATATGCAGGATGTATTTTCATTCACTAGACCAATTTGGGCACAAAGGCCRGATAGGTCCATATTTGAATACTGYTGGGGTTGGAGATGATTGATTTTGTCATTTGGGAGTTGTAGTTGCTGGGATTTATAGTTCACCTACAATTAAAGAGCATTCTGAACTCCAACAACGATGGAATTGAACCAAACTTGGTGCACAGAACTCCCATGACAATCAGAAAATACTGGAAGGGTTTAGTGGGCATTGCCCTTGAGTTTTGGAGTTGTAGTTCACCTGCATCTAGAGAGCACTGTGGACTCAAACAACGATAGATCTGGACCAAACTTGGCACGAATCCTCAATATGCCCAAATGTGAACATTGGTGGAGTTTGCAGAAAATAGATCTTGACATTTGGGAGTTGTAGTTGCTGAGATTTATAGTTCACCTACAATCAAACAGCATTCTGAACCCCACCAATGATAGAATTGGGCCAAACTTCCCACATGACACACAGAAAATACTGTTTTCTGATGATCTTTGGTGACACCTCTGACACCCCWCGTGACTCCCCCCCCCCCAGGCGTTCTGACCCCCAGATTGAGAGAAATGCTGATACAGAGTGATGCAGTCAAAAGATGTCCTGAGTATATAAAAAGTCAAGATCAAAGTTCGCTTTTGTCGGGGAGGGGGGAATATTTCCAAGCCGCGGATAGTTGAATCAGTGGATGGAGGACCCGTAGATACAGAGGTCCGACTCAACCAGAAGGCAGAGAAGCAGGTGGAGACCCTGAGACCTTGGGGAGAGGAGAAGTGGGAGACCCCCCCCCCTCAAAAAATGTTTGGTTTTCCCTGACATTAAGTCCAGAATCAGGCCCGTAGCCAGGATTTTGATTCGGGGGGGGGGAGGGGCGGGGGTGTGTGTTCAGGATCTACCCTAGCAAACCTTTTGTATCATTATCCCAATACCCCCATGCATATGGGATATGCACCAGTATTATCTGGGTTGTGTAAACATCACCCTGCCCTCCAAGGGGGTTCCAGGATTCTTTCATTTTCAATACCGCTTAGAGAAAGTGCATGAAATGGCTTGTGCATGAAATGGTCTGTGGCCACCTGGCTTCCCAGGAGTCCTGGGGAGACCCTTTCCCTCCTCCTTGCTGCAGCCTCCTGCTCCCTGCCGCCTGAGGCTCTGTTTCCAACCCACCCCGTTTCTCCTCGCCAGCCCTTGGGCTCCTGCCTTTGCTTGACCCCGGCGCTCATCTGTCAGCCAGGCGCTGCTGGGCCGGAGATTGCCATCCTCTTTAGCATCCTAATCACCCGCGTGATTGCTTTCGCCCGGAGGAATCTCGCCAAAGGGAGCCACCGCTTGAGAGGAGACGGAGGAGGGAGGGAGGCAGGGGCCCTTCACATGGAGATGATGGAAGCGAAGAGGGATTATTTCGCCCTCTTTTTCCTTTGCTGCATCCACGCGCTGCCTGAGCCCGCTTTGCAGGACTGAGAAAGAAAGTCGGGGAAAGAGGACACAGAATAAGACCACGGGATTTTTTTTGGCGGGGGGGGGGGGGGGGGGAGGTGTCCCCGGTGGCACAGTGGGTTAAAGCGGAGAGCTGCTGAACTTCTTGACTGAAAGGTCGCTGGTTTGAATCCGTTGTTCGGCCCAGCTTTTGCCAACCTAGCAGTTCGAAAACATGGAAATATGGGTAGATCACTAGGTAACACTTCTTTGGGAAGGTAAGGGCATTCCATGCAGTCATGCCGGTCACATGACCTTGGAGGTGTCTATGGACAATGCCAGCTCTTTAGCTTAGAAATGGAGATGAGCACCAAGCCCCAAATGTGAGTAGATAACTAAGTACCGCTTTGACAGGAAGCTGACTGCCAGCCACATGATCTTAGAGGTGTCAACGGACAGCGCCAGCTCTTCGGCTTAGAAATTGAGATGAGCACCAACCCCCAAATGTGAGTAGATCACTAGGTACCGCTCTGGCGGGAAGCTGACGGCACTCCATGCAGTCATGCTGGCCACATGACCTTGGAGGTGTCTACGGACAATGCCGGCTCTTCAGCTTAGAAATTCAGATGAGCACCAACCCCCAAACATGAGTAGATCACTAGGTACAGCTCTGGCGGGAAGCTAAGGACACTCCATGCAGTCATGCTGGCCACATGACCTTGGAGGTATCTATGGACAACACTGGCTCTTCCACTTAAAAATGGAGATAAGCACCAACCCCCAGAGTTGGACACGACTGGACTTAATGTCAGGGGACAACCTTTACCTTTACCTTTAATGTCACAAACACATCGTTCATGCAGCTGTCATTTAATAATAGTGGACCCAACAGAAAATACTTAAGGCCATCCAGTCTAACTCTCTTCACGTGGAATGAAAATGTAATCTGAGCCCTCCTGACAAAGACCCATCCAGCCATAGATATAGATAGATATGATTCACACACAGAGAGATATAGTATCATAGATTTGAAAGGGACCCCTAAAGAAGGACTATGATATGTTGCATATTCCAGAGTAAGCAAACCAGACAATCTCCACATCAGCACTGACAAAGAAACAGCAAGAAATACTGTTTACCCACAGGCATAAAGAAATTACATATATTACTTTATTTTCCAGATCACCAGACTGGGCCACAGCAATGCGTGGCAGGGGACACGTAGTATAATCTTAGAATCCTAGAGTTGGAAGAGTCCTCGTGGGCCATCCAGTCCAACTCCTGCCAAGAAGCACAAAAATTGCATTCAAAGCACACCTGACAGATGGCCATCCAGCCTCTGTTTAAAATCCTTCAAAGAAGGAGCCTCCATCACACTCCAGAGCAGAGGGTTCCACTGCTGAACAGCTCTCACAGTTAGGAAGTTCTTCCCAACATTCAGGTGGAATCTCATTTCCTGTAGTTTGAAACCATTGTTCTATATCCTAGTCTCCAGGGCAATAGAAAACAAACTTGCTCCCTTCTCCCTATGACTTTCCCTCACATATTTATACATGGCTATCATGTCTCCTCTCAGCCTTCTCTTCTTCAGGCTAAACATGCCCAGCTCTTTTAGTTGCTCTTCACAGGCCTTGTTCTCCAGGCTCTTGATCATTTTATTTGCCATCCTCTGGATACATTCCAGCTTGTCTATTCTGCTACTACACAAATCCTGTTAGGCTATTGGACTTCTCCAGTGTGTAGGAGCCATATCAGGCCTTCTTGGATGGTTGAATTATATATATATATATTCCAGAACTATCTATTAGGATGAAAATGCTATCAAAAGATTAGAATATTGTTACGATTCTTTTTATTCATTCATTCAATTTGCAGTATCCTGAGTGCTCAGCAGATTGCAATCAGGTTTTAATGAATTAGTAGTGCCTCTTTACTATAAATAAGTTTGTTCTACAGTATTCCAAGAGTTTTACCTCCAGGTTAGGTGCACAGACTTGCAACTTCAGCTCCTTAATGATATGACTGAGTTTTAACCTGGGGCCGTCTGCACTGAAGATATGTACTCAGTCACTGAACTTTTCCGCCCTCAATAATGTTACATCTCCAGACATTTCCCTTTCAAAGGGCTTGAAGTAAGAGCTAATGATCTCCACCAAAGGTCTAGGACAACCACGGTCAGTTGGCAGATAAATGTCACCAAGGCAGTTTGTTTTAAGATGGCATGTTTTATGACTGTTTTGTGGAAGTTCCATATTTCAAACGAATGAAGCATCGTTGGGAAGATCATGATGTTCTTTGCACTCCTTGCACTTAAGGTTTTCTTAAATATTATGTGTAACCCTTGCAGTCTAAAAATTTTAAAAAGAAGCTTCAGTTTTGTGTCTTGATGTTTCAGGTGCTAGTTCTACTACTGATTTTCTTTCGTTTTTATTTTTATACCTAGGTATTTCACTGAAGGAAAAAGAATATCACATGCGACCAGCCATGGCTTTTATATCTGGGTGTTCAATGGTGATACAACCGGGTTTAAGGTGCAGTGAACCATTCCAAGTGCCATTTTATACTACAGCCCAAATGGGAGTAATTGCTACTTGCTCTTCAGATTTTTTTTTTCAGTGTCAGGAGTGACTTGAGAAACTGCAAGTCACTGCCATTCTGTGGTAGGCTTTTCTCATGTCCCTGCATGAGAAGCTGGAGCTAACAGATAGGAGCTCACCCCGCTCCCTGGATTCGAACCACCGACCTTTTGATCAGCAGTCCTGCTGGCACAAGGGTTTAACCCGTTGCGCCACCGAGTGCTCCACTTTTCAGATGGCATATGTATAGATTAGGCAACTGATCTCTGAGTAGTGACAATACATAACCATTACTTGCTCAGAATGTGAAGGAACCAATAGGCTAAGCTGTCCCTCATAATTAATATAATTCACATGATGCCAGAATTTTGTATAATGCCAGGGAATATTCCAAATGGAGAGCTTGTGGTGCATCAAGGCAAACTTAGAGGAAGTTGCAGATATTTAATTTTTGTAACTGTGGGTTTCTTCTCCCATGAAGGCAGGAAGCGAAAGGATTGTACCAGTTTTCAGATTCTGTGGCATTTTCATTTGTCATTGTGCAGACAACCAATAGCACAATGTAAATCATTTGGGGCTGTTGATCATCTGTATTCAGCTGACGCTGCACCAATTATCAGTAAAGGGTGACTAGATGCTTGGTGATGCAAGAAGGACAAAGTGGTATCAAATTCTTACTTTATATAACCAAGTAATGTAACCAATAAATGTACATTGGTCATCTACTTCAGAGTATATTGATTGCTTACAACTATATATACCACATTTCACCTTTTCCTGTTTTAGGGGATCCAAAAATGGGGTGGACCTTAAAGTCTATGTCGTTTTTTGGTGTGTGTGTGTTTTAAAAAACTACCTTACTTTTGAGAGAGGAAGAGGAAGAAGGGAAGAAGGAAGGACCTGAGCTCCAAATGGCTCTGACTTTTGGGGTTTTTTTCTGGTACAAACCCTGCTTTGTGCTGAAATAATGTGATACTGGAAAGACCTGGGTCTTCCTAAAAGACCTGGGTCAAATCCAGTATGGCCGTTGTGTGGACTGTCCCCTCAGAAGTTCTGGAATTTCTCAGGAGGCTGTCCGTACAGCCCTCTTGTGTTTTCTGGGCTGAATCAGCCCAGAATACCCGAGAGGGCTCTAACCCCTCCCCAAAACCCCTTAAAATGGGGGGGGGGAGTAAAATAACTTACCCAGCCACCATTAAACTGGTGCTGAGCTCTCTTGGCATGTAGAAATGATGCACCAGGAAAAGGGGGGAGGAGGAAAATAGTTCCTGCCCCCCTTCTCCTGGCATGTCATTGCTATGCACCAGGAGAGCTCTGGCACCAGTTTAATGGTGGCTGGGTGTTATTTTAACCCCCCCCCCATTTTAAGGGGTTTTGGGGAGGGGGGTATGAGTGTCTCCCTGTCCTCCCCAAGGGTTCCGGGAGGGCATGTGGACAACCCCTCCCCAGAAAAGCATGTACTTTCTGGGGTGTGGGTGGACTTGAGCCCGGGCACAATCGCATTTTTAAAAGGGCTGTGTGGAACTTCCCCTAGAGAGGTGTTCCCTATAGGAATCTCAAGGTCTTCCAGTGTGATTCGGTGGTTAAATTTTGTAAGAAATTTATAATCAAATATGTGAATAATGAAATCTGCAAAAGTCAAACATACAATGTGGAGGGCCAACTGTACATATAATTATGACTATATTGCACATCTTAAGTTTATAAAACATAGAATTATAAAAACCAATGTTCTATAAAACAATGTGAAGGCAGACCTCTCCTATCTCAAAGAGATTAAGTCTTTTTCTGTTAATTTACGACAGAAATACTATATGACATTAAATCATGCTTAACAACCCAAATCTTAGTTAGTCCTGACTCGGCCTGGAGAGACACGATTTTATGCTTTGTGAATGAAGTATACATGGTGTTGGCTTTGCTTTGATGGGCTAAGTTGAGATGGATGTTGAAGCTGCCCTTTACTTTTGGAGTTTTGTTCCACGACTATTCTCTTTCAACTTCCTTTTGCACCAACATATTGTAAGAAGAAACAGAGTGAAGAAGACCTTTTGCTTTGATGCTCATCTTGTACATTCAGTTTGTAAAAATAATGCACTTTTTGAAGTTGTAAGTAGCAACTGGCATATGATGACATTTGGATGTTATGCTACCACTATGGAAAAATAATTGAAGACCATCATCCTGTGATGTCCAAGTGTTCAATAGTCTGTTGTATGCGCTGTTTGACATGTAACTACTTGTTCACTGAGGTATACACAACTATTTAGAGAAAGTCATGGCTGGATGGCCGAAGGAAGGAGGCACCAGAACTTGTTAAGTAATCGGATCAAATTTTGCCATAGTCACTGCTGAATGTTTTTATGTTGAATGTTTTTATGTTGAATGTCTTTATATTGAATGTTTTATATTGTGTATAAGCTATTTTAAATTGTAAGTCGCTCGGAGCACTTTGGTGAAGAGCGACTAATTAAGAAATAAAGTGATGATGATGATGATGAAGTCCAGAGACCTTCTTCAACTACAACTCCCCTGATTCCATAGTACTGAGCCATGGCAGTTAAAGTGGTGTCAAAATGCATTAATTCTAGAGTAGCTGCACATTTGAAAGCCCCTGGAAATTAGTATCTGGAAAAGTAAGCTTTCTGAGAATTGGAGAGCAGGAATGCTCCCTGAGCCTTGTGAGTTTGTGGTAACTACTATATTTAATTGCATAAGAGCTGCACTCCCCCATTTTAATTAAATAAAGGAGGTGTGACTATTATGTGGTGAATTTTTTTTTCACCGACAGTAATTTTGTAGCTGCAATGGGCACAGGCATGTGTACAAGTGAGGCCTCACCCATCCACATGCTTGCCTCTTGGAGCTATAGTGCTTTCCTTGGGTGTGACTAGTATGCAAGAAACACGAATTTTTGTGCTCAAAAATGGGGTGTGATATGTGCAGTGGTGTTTATTATGTCAGCAAATACAGTATATATAATGTCAGAAACATTACAATGCCAGAGTATAAAGAGGAGTTTGTGGACTTGTGTAAGATGGGGAATCCTGTCAGCCCTCATCTACATGGCCAGTTGTCAGGGAAGTTGGAGATCAGGGAAGCATCTGGAGGGCCATAACTTCTCTCATGTATTTGGATCCTGTTTGGAGTTCACTTCTCTCGTTCTTCTGGAAGTCCTTGGGTATGAGTAACACAATGTCTTCCTAAGTTATATTTTTTACACGGTTTACACCTAGCTTTTCTCACTTTCATGCCTTCCAGATGTGCTGGATTACAGTTTCGTTCACCACAGCCAGTATGGCCATGGATAGGATGGGCGTTGCTCATCTGGAGGGCATCAAGTTGACAGAACAGACATCTGTATTGCTGTGAAATACACCTGGGTTACTGTGATCCAGAGTATTTTATTCTGAAGAAAGAAAGAGAACACAAAAAGAGAGACAGCTAACAGCTCACTGATCTTTTGTTCATAAAACAATTATAGATCTACTTGAACAGTGGAGAGTGCTCAGGCAAAGATATATGTTCCTCTAGAGATTCTTTCATACCGCTTTCCTGTAAAGCATCTTTGACTCACATCAGTTTTTGCTACAGCTGTTCTAATTCTGTCTGCTTAAATGCGACTAGTAGCTATTTGATGCCCTTTTTATGAAATGGAATCTCCGGGTGAAGACAGGCACTAAACACAAGTCGTCAGAGCCGTTGATGTCTCATTTTGGTAATAAAGATTGCCATGGTTCCCAGCATTGTTTTATATTCATAAGGAGCCGCCTTGTCAAAACAATAAATAAAAATAAATCTTTTGACTTGGTAATATTATCGTCGTGTGCTTGTTCATTTACATCATAACGTCAATAAAGTTCACATAAGTAAAAAGTTAGTCACATTATATGCTCAACAAGAAAAAGCTAAAAAATGCTTGCGATAGACTTGCTTTTCACATGTCAGACTATTTTGAGGCAAAGCAGTTGTGATGATATGCAGTTTTTGGTAGCAGTTATTTAATCCTCATTTTACACCATAATGGTCAGTTGCCACAGAGGTTAAAAGGAAACCATGGCACTTTGTTGGATGGGGTTGCACTCCCCCTTAAGACACAGGTTTGCAGCTTGGGAGTTCTCCTGGACTCAAAGCTGAGCCTGGAACCCCAGGTTTTGGCAGTGGTTAGAGGAGCTTTCACACAATTAATGCTTGTGCACCAGTTGCATCCATACCTTGGGAAGTCAGACTTGGCCACAATAGTCCATGCTCTGGTTACATCCCGAATAGACAACTGCAACACATTCTATGTGGGGTTGCCTTTGAAGACTGTTTGGAAGCAGCCAGATTGCTCACTGGACCAGCATACAGGGAGAATACAACCCCTCTGATATGTCAGCTCTACCAGCTGCCAGTCTGCTATTGAGCACAATTCGAAGTGCTGGCTTTAGCCTATAAAGCCTTATATGGTTCTGGTCCAGGTTACCTGTCTGAATGCATCTCCTGCTATGAACCTGCTCTCAGTCCCGCCTCCTTTGCAGGCATGATTGCTGGGGACAAGAGGCAGGGCCTTCTCAGTAGTGGCCCCTGACTATGGAACTCGTAACCTGGTGATATTGGATCAACCCCCTCTCTCCTGGCCTTCAGAAAGAGAGTGAAAATGTGGCTTTGGGATCAAGCCTTCAGAGAAGTAAAATAGAAGGATATGGAATATGTACAATGACTACTGGAATGGCCCCAGATTACGATTGTGGATGGCATGGTTTTGATAATGGTTGTAAATTTTAAAACTGTTTTAATATGTATTAATTTTAATCTTAATTTAAATGTTTATTTTAATTGTATGTTTTTAAGGCATTATTGAATAGTTGCCTATGTCTAAAGCCACCTTGAGTCCCTTTCAGAATTGAGAAGGACAGGGTATAAATATGGCAAATAAATACATAACTTTAGAAGTAGAAGATTGTGTGATAACATGATGGTTTTCCTTTTTAGAGGAGAGATAAGTCTCTTAAAAAACCCCATCATTTTAGAAGAGTGGTGATTATTGTGCCAGAATGATTTCCCATACCAAGACATTCCTACCAGTTGTTAACTGGTACTCCAGGCTGGTATAGAATGTAGCTACCCATTTGTGGGGATGAAGTCCCTACATAAGTGGGCCCATTGCAAATTTCGTGTTGCTATGGATCTATTCTCTTATGTATTTTATTTAAAACATGCAACTAGCTAATCTGAAGATCAGTATAGCCCTTGGCTAGATCTTCAACTCATGCTCCACTTTGTATTTTGCAAAGGGGACCTTTGCAGAACTTGTAGCTGTCCTCATGGCATACAGTTGCCTCTGACATTTTTTCCTAAAGATCCAGAGGGCATAATATTACTTTCAGGAACTTAGCTTATCCATAAAAGTTTAATTAGATCCTGCTTATCCAAAGGAGGCTGTAATTTATTGGTATGGATATGATTTACAATGAATACAAAGGGAAGGTGAATGAGATAATGAAGCTATCACCAATTCTCATTAGAAAAAATGAAATGTCAAGCATAAATATTAGGCATACGTCACTGTAGCAACTTGAAACAAGTTATTCAAAATGCAACCCTTATTCAAAATATGTTTTGGTGCTCAATAATATGGGCTTAGCTTATGTACATTATATTGTAAAATACCTTGCACAAATAGAAACAAAACCTTACACATGGGTTGTTGTGAGTTTTCCGGGCTGTATGGCCATGTTCCAGAAGCATTATTTCCTGATGTTTCACCTGAATTTATGGCAGGCATCCCTAGAGGTTCTGAGGTTTGTTGGAAACTGGGAAAATTGGATTTATATATCTGTGGAATTCAAATAGACAAGTTCTTTTACCCACCCTGGACATTCCACAGATATATAAACCCCATTTTCCTAGTTTCCAACAAACCTTACGGATGCCTGCCATAGATGCAGTGAAACGTTAGAAAATAATGGTTCTGGATCATGGCCATACAGCCTAGAAAACTCACAACAACTCAGTGATTCCAGCCATGAAAGCCTTCGACAATACACCTTACACATGGTTTGGAACATTAAATCAGTGGTGGGCAACATGACCAGTATTCTGCATCCTGGGCTGCTGACACAATACCTGACCATGTTAGACAATTGCGATGGTTTCCAGTGGGATATTATGCAAGTTGTTCTTTTGAGCAATGCTCCCAATGCACAATGGGGAACCATACAAGATGTCCCACTGCACAACAATACGGCACCATGAAAAGCATTGGCATTTTTTCAGCCAGGCACAGGACAACTGACTTTCCATGATCTTCCACCTACTATTAATAGTGCTCCATGACTTTGCTGTGGTCAATTTGAACCTCCCTGATACTGCTGTTATATCTGGGCAGCCTGTGCTTCACTGTTTCACTTAATGATTGTTGCACAACTGCCATGTTGCTTCTTCCACTTGTGCAATAGTCATGATAACACAATTATGAAAATATTCTGGGAATATTATTGTTGCACAAAACTGCAGTTATAAGCTGCAAGCATAAATTGGCTTAGTAAAGGTAAAGGTTTCCCCCTGACATTAAGTCCAGTCATGTCTGACTCTGGAGGTTGGTGCTCATCTCCATTTCTAAGCCAAAGAGCTGGTGTTGTCCGTAGACACCTCCAAGGTCATGTGGGCAGCATGACTGCATGGAGCGCTGTTACCTTCCAGCCGGAGCAGTATTTACTCTTTTCGAACTGCTAGGTTGGCAGAAACTGGGGCTAACAGTGGGAGCTCACGCCATTCCCCGGATTCGAACCTGTGATCTTTTGGTTAGCTAGTTCAGCAGCTCAGTGGTTTGCTGATAGATACATAAGTATAAGACATTTGTTTGTTTCTAACCTTCTGAGCTGCCCTAGCACACTTTCCAACAAAGTGGGACACCATAATAATTTCTGTAAAGCATCTGTCTTGGTTAGAGTCCAATTTACTGTTATTATAGAAATCTGTGCAGTTCATGTATAAAAGCTTAACTTTTAAATGGAATCAGAAAGGTGCTTATTTTGCCTCTATAAGTGTGTGCTTTATATTAATATTACTGAAAAATATGCAAGAGCAAGTGTGCTTAATATTTACATCCCTCTCAGAGCATTTAGTATGTGTTGGCTCAGAGTTCCCCAAGAACTGCAACCTGCCATGAGATGTATTTGAAGCTGTAAATCTTGGCAGTATTCTGCTTAGATGTTACCACCTCAGGTGTTTTTTCAGCCATCTCTGCCAAATGTATTGTAAGATTTTAATAAATATCTTGGCAGTACCCCTTTTTTTACAAAGAATCTTGGGAGAAGGTTAAACAAAAAGAACAATTCCATCAAAATTTGCAAATTTCACAAAATCTTTGAAAGAATATTCAACGCTTTATACATTTGTTGCTCCCCAGTAGTTCAATCATGCCACACTTGTGACGTTGAACCATTTGGATTATTTGGAGTGGAAGAACACCAATAAAGTAATTACAAGCATAACTCAGCAAATGAAGTAGATGTGTTCTTGGTCATCACTTCTTTAACAGAAAATCAGAGCAAGAGGCAGAAAAAACAGGGAAATAGTGATTGGTTCCAACACCACAAGAAATAAAGAGCAATTTAGCATGTTTCAGCGCGCTTTCTATTCAAAATTGACAATATCCGTGCATGAAATAAAACAGCAAACTCAGATAAGACCTGTACAAGCAAGCAAAAAGATTCTGAACCTTCTAGAGACCACCTGAAGTTTTCTTCTAAAATGCAGCCACAAAGACATTTTATTTGAATTGTGTGAAAGGAATCTGATGCAGGGAATGGATCTGTCTGGAACCTGATTGATAATTTGGGCTGTGAAAAATACCACATGCTAAAGACATACTTAATCATCTTTGATATGCTTATTTTATTCCATTATTAATATTCCAAGGTTTTCAGTTCAAGGGTCATTCTAACAAGCATCTTCTCAGTTATTTATCAGCTGCAGAAGGCCTCCAAAAGCTCTGTAGAATGGCAAATGAATAAAAGTGAACTGGTTAACTGGGGGAAATCGAATTTTAAATGCTAATGTCAGTATATATTTAGAAGTTTCATCACAAATAAAATCTGTCAGAAGTGAATAGAGCTGAAATGTACATTAAAAACATGCTGAGTTGAGCTGAAGGTTAAATTATTTTCATTATCAATACTTTGAACTGGAGCAAGTATGTCCAACATATAGTTTAAAAATACAACATTATTTACCAGGTAGTGTCTTTAGGAATGGGAGGAGATGCATGTGTATCTTCAGTGCTTCCATCATTCTTGGCATCTGGGAAAATACACAAAGAAATCTCTGAGATGCTTCACTGGCTACATAGATTATAGGCTATATGTCTACTTCTCCTGAACACAGATATCTGAGTGAACTTGCTAAAAGCTACCATAGCCTTTCCCACAGTTTCCAACCATAATTATTCTGCATGTGCCACATTAGAACCACAATATATCCACTTCAAAGCATGTCCTTTGGAATCTGATGCTGCAGCACCCAAGAATTTGCTCTTTCTTAGGACCCCAATTTGTATTCCTGATAGACATGTAACTGAAAAGAAAATGGATTCCACTGAATCAACAAAACACTAATCCACTATTACAATAGTAGAAAAATCCCAAGCATATACTTGTTTCCACAGCTTGTACAAGACACAATAAGCATTAATATACAATGAAACATAAGTATGTTGTATTCACAGTGCTAATTATTATTTCTTTTTATAGGAAAGAATCTTCCACAAGATATAACAAACAGTAATATATAATGAAACATAAGTTTGTTACATCCACAGTACTAATTGTTATTTCTTCCTTATAGGAGGGAGTTTCCAACCAAAGATTATGTATCTGTGGAATGTCCAGGGTGGGAACCCCACTTGCCCAGTTTCCAACAGCCCTCACAACATCTGAGGATGCCTGCCATAAATGTGGGCAAAACGTCAGGAGAGAATACTTCTAGAACATGGCCATACAGCCCAGAAAACGCACAGCAACCTGATAGGTTTATTGTTTAGATAGGATTTCCGGATCTGTAAAACAGATATGGACTATAACTGAGTTCCTTTGGGGAGAAAGGGCAGGTTATAAATAAAGGATTACTACTACTACTACTACTACTACTACTACTACTACTACTACTACTATCCAATGAGACACAAGGCTGCCACCAGTTTCCTGCCTTTATCTTTCAGTTCTTATATACTTACTTCCAAGATACAATGAAAATACAAAAATACCATCTATGGAATTTTATTTATTAGGCATTTGAGATGCTTCATAGTTTAGACCAGGAATGGGCAGACTTGGGCCCTTCAGGTGTTTTGGGCTTCAACTCTCACATCCCAGGATAATGTTCAATATAATGGGTATATATGCTCAATATAATTTGTACATATCTACTAACCAATATTAACAAAATGTTTTAAAACCTTACTAACTGCTGCTTAACTATTATCTGGAGTAACAAATGCAATTATATGAACATGTTCTATAGTAGTTTTATGAATATAAAAATGAATGAATTTGTAACATCTGACTACGCATACCATTCATATCCCTTGAGTTCTATTTTAAAAAACTATACAGTAAACCTCATATAAGGGCTGTGTCAAAGTTTACAGAATAGGACCCTTGGTAGCTTGAATAACATTTCCTCGACAAATCAAGAGTATTGTTCCTGGCTTACATGAATATACAGAAGCCATTATCTTAAATTTAAACTTCAAAGGAACAGTAAATCCACTGTGGAGATATGAAGGCCATACTGTATCAGTGGAGTCTGCAGAATTTTTCCCCCACATAGCCTTACTGTGCTGAAATATATGTTGCACTTGAAAGCTAAAGGGATTACTTTTGAATAGTCATCACAAAGGTTGATTATATTTGTATATCACTTAGCTAAACCCTGCAGGCTATTATTCCATTAGCTGTGCTTGTCCACTCCTGCACTGTCAAAAAATTGATCATGTGATACAAAAGGCCAGATAGTGTGTTAAACAACGAAAAGGACTTAAAAAACCACAACAATATTACATTTACAATTCATTATAAACCCGTTTAGGTAGCAACCCTATGTATACTTATTTAGAATAACTAGACTGAAGAAAATCTTGCAAAGCTGAGGCTTATTCTTACTCAGGGAACATTATATCATTAAAAAGTTATAGTCAATCCAGATATTAGCTGAATAGGCCAAAATCACAGAAGCATATCAAGTACAGAAGCACAGTCTTAAGGTACAGAAGCATGGGTGTCAAAAGTCTACAGGATTGTTGTAAATCTTATTTTTCTGGTTGCGTTCTAGAACAGAACGATTCAAAGCCAAACATTAACTTTCTAAGAATAATATCATATGAAAGCTGACTGGCACAATCTGGGGATTACAACCAGACACAGTGAAGACATCTGTCCTTCCCCTTTGCTACTCTGCCTCTGAATATACATGCCCGGTGTGGAATACATCTCACTACCTTAAAGCAGTAGATGTGGCTCTTAATGAGGCATGCTGCATTAACACAGGATGTCTACGCCCAACACTGCTGGAGAAATTATACTGTTTAGCCAGTAATGTGCCACCTGATATCCGCCAGCAACAAAAAGACCAAGGCATTGACATCTCTGGCCCATCCTCTATTTGGATATCAGCAAGCATGTCAATGGCTAAAATCAATAAGCAGCTTCCAAAGATTTACAGAGATATTCACAGGAACACCTCAGGAAGCGAGAGTCCAAAAGTGGCAGGCTAAAACCCGGAACTTCAATCAGTGGCTAATACCGGATAAGAAACTTCCCCCTGGGCACACAGAAGACTGGGTGACTTGGAAGGTGCTGAACAGACTGCACTTTGGTATCAAGAGATGCAGAGCCAATCTTGGTGATTGAGCGTGGTCTACTCCAAGAAGAGATGCAGAGCCAATCTTAAGAAATGGGACTTCAAAGTGGAATCCACGACATGCAAGTGTGGAAAAGAGAAAACCATAGACCACTTACTACAATGCAACCTAAGCCCTGCCACATGCACAATGGAGGACCTTCTCACAGCGACACCAGAGGCACTCAAGTGGTCAGCTTCTGGTAAAAGGAAATTTAGTATAATGCAAAGTTTTTAAATTTGTTTGTGATTTTTTAAATACATTTTAACTGTATTCTCAATTTGTTTTTGACATGATAAATAAAATACTTGCTAGGAGGTAGAGTGAGCAGCAGGACAGATGTATAGACTTCCAATGACTGTTGGCTTCGTGTGCACAGTCTAGCACTGTATAGTATGTTCTGTCATTGAACACTGTTGCTAAGGGTTCTTTTCCAAGTGCCTTCAAGAGACTGGGTGGTACATGGTTCTGCATGACTACTGCTGACTGGACTGGAACTTCTTGTGGGTACCTTTGCTATGATGGATCTAATTACAAAACATCCACCACTGCTATCCATATCCTGTCTTTAAATAGCGCCCCGTTCTTCCCTTTGGGTTATATACCCCAAAAGGCACCAGATTCTGTCTGATCTTGTCTAGTAAGCTGGTTCAGGATGGGCTAGCACTTGGACAGGAGATCACTAAAACTATCAGATACTATAGGCTATATTTTAGAGGAGCTAGCAAAATCACCTCTGAATATTCTTTGCCTAAGCAAAGCCTACAAAATTCATGGGGTTGCCTTAAGATGACAGAACATTTAAGAATTCTAAAGTTCTACAGTTAAGCAGCCCATTTGGTGACTCAAGAGGAAAGATGGATTTCTTTTTCAGGATTGAATTTAATTTTACAGAAGCTCTTAGGATGTACAATTCAGTTGTGGATGGGACCAAAAGTGAGAGACTTTAAGCAATTCTTGGCTTAAAACTCTCACTACAGTAAATAAACTTTAGGAGAGACATTTCAGCTGGGGAACCATCAATAAATGGCATCAGGAGAAAGAGGGCATGGCTATCCAGAGAAGCCCAGTCACCTGGAATGAGACCTCAAAGCTGAAGTTTTCTGCTACTGGGATACGGAATAAGCAAGGAAACAAAAGAGATGAAATAGAACAACAACAACAACAACAACAACAACAACAACAACAACAACAACAACACCAACAACAATTTGCCACTATCTGCAATTCCAGAAGGAAAAGAGTTGAAGGAACTGATATAGGCTGGGATTCTGTTAGTGAATTATGACAAAAGTGAAGTTTATATCATCACCACTCATTTATTGTTTACTGTAGAGATTACAATCCACTACCAAACCACCAAAATTTCCTTCTTCCAAACCCACCTTTTCTCAGCTGCAATAATCTGGACCTGGTCATTTGCTGGTTGGTAAGCAGCAGGGGGAACAGCAGAGAGGCATCCAACTAATTCCTCAAACCTTATGCAGAGCAATGACATCACCTATAGGTATTCTGGGAAGCTCCCAGAAATCCTTGCCGATGTCTGTAGCAGTGTGTCCTGGACACTTCTCTGATGTTCCCCTTGCTCTCTATGAATCAGGAAATGGCCAGGTCTATGGTGATGCAGCTAAGAAAAGATAAGTGGAGGGGCAATGCTGGATGGAGAGTCCTGCACCCTCTCCCCCCAAACTCACCTTTTATATCAGAAACCTAATCATCTGATGCAAAATCATGCCATAGTGTCCAATGACACTTTAAAGTTTATTTAAAGAAAGCAATGGCAAGCCTTTTCTGAATAAATCTTGTCAAGGTAATCCTGGTAAGAGTTGCGTAAGTCACAGTTGACTTGAAGTCACTACCACCACCCTCTCCTGAACTGGGGTCCATTTTGTGAAATAAGAAAAACCACCTCTTCTGTGTTAAAGTGATGTTTATTCTGTAAGCAGGAGCCTCTAGTTGTGCAATAGGTTAAACTCTTGTGCCAACAGAATGAGCTCCCACTGTCAGCTCCAGCTCCCCATGCACGGACATGAGAGAAGCCTCCCACAAGGATGGTAAAACATCAAAATATCCGGGCACCCCCTGGGCAACGTTCTTGCAGAGAGCCAATTCTCTTACACCAGAAGTGACTTCCAGTTTCTCAAGTTGCTTCTGACACGCAATTTTTTTTTATTCCTGTTAGCATCTTAGCCTATTTTCATTATCTTTCAGGGGCACCATGACCATTGTATTCATTTTAGAGTTAAATGATGGTAGTAAAGCACACAACCTAAAATACTGGTGTATAGTTGCTAAAGATATTTAGTATTTTAATTTGCGACAATATTAGAACTCATTGTGCTTTTTGGGTGTATCTGTTTTTAAATCATGTTGTAAGTCACTTTGGTTGCCAGGATTGGAGAAA